CCTTTTATATACTCACCCTTCTTCCTAGTTACCGTCTTTCTATCGAGATAAGGTAATCAAATGACATCACAGTTCAAGATTTAATAAACACTCAAATCTCATGGTACAACATCATAAGTTATGGTTATTGCTTTGTATAATATAAAAGATTATTCGTGAAGATTATGCCTTTTATGCTAACTTCTATATTAATATTTTATACCGATTGATTTGTTGCAAAAAGAGGTGGCCAAAAACAAACCCGATAAGTTGCTGCAAAACCTTTTAAACTTGTAAACTTCCCATCTCCATTTATATATACTCACAACTTCTTCTAAATTTATCAGTCTTTTCATTAATGTGGGATGACCAAATCATCACAATTTAAGATATGGGAATACTCAAATCCCATGCATTGTGCCACATCATTCGAGGGGAAATCCAATAGATTTTCATATTTTGAGCAATTAAGTCCCTAAACATTTTTGAACAAATAGATATCATGAGCAGAAACCAATTATTGTGGTAAAAAGCATTATTATGTGACTTTTAGAGTTAAAGAAAAAAAAAGGAAAAACGGCCTAGAAACATGACGGCTCCCTCTCACGACCCACCTACTCCTCGGCGACCGCTCTCAACAACTCTGCAACTTCCATAGCCTGCCTCGTTAGTCGGTTGGACACTTATTTTGGTATATTTTGTAAATGAGATAACAACAACTTTTGTATATTTAGTAAAGAGGATGGCAACAAATTTTAATAGCATGTCCCGTTAGAGACAACTTTTGTATAATCTGTTTATAAGTGTTGTTTTAGAATGGCTAATGAAAATGGTATATTGTGTTGGTTTTATTGGTTCATTGTACTTTTATACTGATCTATTGATACATCGAGAGAGAATTGGTATATTTCTTTTTTCTACAAGTGTAAGGATTTATTTGTTCTAAAAATGTCTATCAAACTCTGAAAGTCCGCTCGGTTTTTTCGGATATTTTCCATTATTCTACCACAATAACGAGTTTTATAGGTCAAGAACAATCAACTTGTTCCATTTCAATAAGTGCAAAGATTTATTTGTTCAAAAAATATTTAAAGATTTAATCGTTCAAAATGTAAAAATCTATTGGATTTTTTTCAGAGTTTTCCCTTAAAACAAACCACTAGTACATTTTATCATACAAAATAAGTAGTAACAAAATAAAGAGTTTTCCCTTATTACGGAACATTTTTTGCATTCCATATTATATTTGCATTATTATTAATAATTTCTCGTAAATCATGGCATGACCTTCATATGTTACTGGTGTTCTAAAAGGCTTGCCATCGAGGCCGCCTTGGCGCGTCATGGTGTAAGGCTTTTCTTTGACGCCACGATAAGCCCATGGGATGCCATGACCCAATGCACTGTTCTTGTAACAGGTCATTTGGCTTCTTTTTTACGTTTCTAGTGTTTTTTTTTTTCGTTTTTTACTACATAATCTAATTTGCATTGTTTGATTATCATTGATTCCTCGACTGATAGTAGAAAACTTATGTGTTTAGATGATATACATATTTGTCATTATAAATCACACCTTAAAAAAATACCATGCTCAAAAGCTTTGAAGTTTGATCTCACCGATATGTCACACCTCATATTCCATTAGAAGCTTGCATGTTACCATGACTGAAACTTCGCTCACCATCTAATTCTTCCATAGGTATTATTCATATTGTTGTTGAACAATGTAGAAGATCATATTTGTCGCATCATTCCTTTGAATATAATATGAAGAATGAAAGTTTCCGTTATCGCATAATGATGTTATCGTATTACTAGTGAAAACCCTGAAAATAATTGTATATCAGGAGAGAATAAAAATTATAAACATAACTCATATGGTAAATAGAACTTCAATTTGAGTATTAATTATATATACATACAAAGAGGGATATAAATATATATATATATATATATATATATATACACACACAAAAAGAGGGATATATATATACACACACAAAGAGGGATATATATGTGTGCACATGTGTGTATGTGTATGCTGAATTTCTATTTATAAAATTAATTTATAGTAATTTCACTGAAAAAAAAGCAAATTATATAAAAAAAACTAAATAGTATAATAAGTTGATAAAATTATAAATATAATATGATTTGTGAGACTGTTGGTTTTTAACAAAGATAGAGTTTCTTTTGTCACTTAAGTAAAGTATTAAGGCATAATTAGGACAAAGTCGGAAAAAAAAACTTCTCCATCTTGTTGAAACGCTATTTTGATTAACGTTTTAATAAGTTAACTCATGACAAACCTAACTTTTTTAATAAATTCAAAAAGTTAGCTAGTATATGGTTGCTATAAAAAGCTTAACTTTTCACTCGACTTCCCACATATATATGATGTAATAATTGAAAAGTTAAAAAAAGAAATATTGTTTGTTTACGTGATCTTAAATACTTATATACAAAGAGATAAAATTTACGAAAAGATGAAAAGTTTCAAAATCACATGTGATGCAACATGTACAAAATAACATATGCGACTTGGTTAGTGCGACCAAAAGTCGGGAGAAAGGTCATCCGCTCTATGACCGCTCAATGTAACATATTTGTATCACATATGATTACGTGTTATATATCACATGTGATTATATATAAGCTTTTAATTTCTAACTTTCTTACAAATTTAACATCTTCTTGTTTCATCTTGGCACTATATACAAATTTTCATATGGATTCCCACATTCAACACCAGGACCAATGGTCCCCACCACTACTACCACAATTGTCTATAGACATGTTGAAAATGTCTTCAATTTAGAAACTTAAATCAAACGCACGTTAATGCGCAACAACTAGACCAACTTTTGGTACATTATTGGCAACTTTAAATTCATTCAACAACTCTCTTTCAACATAGCAACTTCATATATGACTTGCACTAATTAAGTCATCTTCAATGTCTCGTTTGGATTAGATTTCAGTCAGAGTGAATTTATGTCCGACTCGATAGTCTCTAAGTAGTCGCTTGTAGGTTTAATGTTGTTTTTGGGCATTTATTGTTTTAACTCTAATTTGGTTTTTTCCCCCTCATTTTGCACCATACACACACACACACTCTCTCTCTCTCTCTCTCATGTAAGAGCATCTAATTACGCTCGATCTTGTACCAATAACAATCATTTTGTGTGTTCTTCGGACGACTATGGTCATGGTTTTCATGTTTTGGGTTTTAGTTCTTTATCTCTCTCTTATTTTTAAGTGGGTTCAATGTGTTTGTTGTTTTATATATTGTTGTTGATTAGACTACATGTTTGCTTACAACAAATCAATTTTTGTATATTTGATTGATCAATGGTTACAAACACCATTTAATATCGGGGTATTAGTTTCATGTTTCACTCTGATTTTGTTATAAATGGTGGGTATTTTTTGCTATGTTTTTTGTGATAGTTTGGCTGCTCTGTTTAAAGACTTTTTGTCTAGGTTGTCTGATATTAGGGTTTGCTGCGTTTTCTAGGGACTTTTAGCCACTTTTTAATACATACTGAGATGAAGAACTTCACTGCAACAACTTAGTCCATGTGGTTTGAATCTTTTGGATATCGAATTAACAATTATCGAGTATATTCATCCCTATCTTTTTATCTTTATCGCTTTCAATATTTGTCTCTAGGCTTATTTTTTTCGCAAACGGTAAATAGTTATCTTGAGTTTATGTTGTGATTGTTCATTTAGTTTCATTATTAATGTTTATATTGATGTCTTAATTATTTGGTTATAGTCTACTCTTCTTAGATCTGATAAATTTTATGCACTCAATAGTTTGTTCTTCTTTTATTTCGACATCTTCTCTCTTTTGACAACATTTATTTTTTCACTTCTTCTTTCATTTATTTTTTCATAGGTTTAATTCTATTTTACTGTATATTAGCCTAAATCTAATTAGTTTCCTTCTTTCTAATTTTGAATTACTTAATCCATGCACTTTATTTTTTATTTTCAAGTTTGATACTTTAATCACGGTTTAATCGTGTTTTTTTTGTCTAACATAATTAGTTTCTTGAGCTTAGCCATCTCTAATTTAATTAGTAATGTTCTATGTTATTTGAGTCTATTTGTTTGTTCTTGGTTATATCTTCCGATTTTGGCTTTAGCATCGTTAGTCAATTCTTATTAGTAATGTTTGCTTTCTTTTGAGTCTTGCTAAATGATAGTTAATTAGTTGTCTACTCCGTTTATCTCTCTTTGCTTAGGTAATGTTTGTCTTTTAGTTGTTTTTAGTTGCTAGAAATAGATAGCATGAGAAGTCTTTGATACATATGTTGATTAAGACTCAAGTTGCGATATTGATCGGTTGTTCTTCTAAATGTTATGTTAACAAATCTTTGTTTTGGATTGTCACTAGCGCAAGCTCGGAATTTACTAGATGCTGATTGTTTAACTTGCATTCATTTATACAGTTGAGCTTTGAAAGAATGCTTGACCTTGATTTGGTTTGGCCAATCAATGATGTGTGGTTTCACCATGGAAATCCTAGATTGTAAAAATATTTGCTTTACTTCATACTTCTTTGCAAATAACATTATGAAAATAATTAGTATTTTGTTTGGAAAGGATTTTTTTCTCTGTAAAAGAAGGTTAGAATTATCTTTGATATGCAAATTCCCATCGTTGAAATCAATAATATGTTTGAAATAACTTTAGGAAATATGGTTTTTAGGCATTTTTCCTATTTTTGCTTAGTGTAGTCTCCTTCTTAGTCAATAATCATCCCACTTTAACTAGTTATAGCTTTGAGTGTACTTGTGCTTATCCCATCGCTTCCTTGTAATCGACCAGTATGCTATATCATCGTACTTGTGCTTATCCCAACACAACATATTCTTCCCATAATGACAAAGGATGTGGATCAAGATCACTCTCAACTTGATTTTACACTAGAAATCAAAAGGAAACAAGACACTTGTGTGAAAGATGTAGTTTTTTATGCATAAAGTAAGAAGTTAAATACAACTCGGATTCTTTTTTTGGGGACACAACAGCTATAGATATTCATTAAGAGCTGTAAAATTAGGAAAAGAGATGGGAGAAAGTGAAGTTTAAAATTTGGGGACACAACAGCTATTAATATTCGTTATTCGGCAGCATTGGTGATGATCTTATTCTATATATTTATACAATTTATAACCAGGAATGTGGTATAAAGTGAAGGTTTAACGACCAGAAACTTGAATGGTGGAAGCAGTGGCATTGGAGTCCAACGAGTTCGAGGTATCGACTTGAATCTTTACATCATCTTCGTGAAATGTAGACCTTACTGGTGGAGTTTCATCTAGTGATTTATCACTTAGAAGTGCAACCACTTCAGACATTGCAGGCCTTGCAGAAACCGGTGACTGAGTGCACATCAATGCTGTCTCTATGATTTTCATTGCATCTTCTGCTGAATATTCACTGGGGTCTATTCTGTCATCAATTAGATTCAAATGTGTGCCACTCTCATATAGATTCCAAGCCTAGAATACACAATAACAGAAGAAAATCTGTTAAAAACTTAAGCGAGCTTAGGATCTCTTGGTATTCATCATGGAATGGACAACAAAATAAATACCAGAAATGAGGTAAAAATGATTTAAAAGAATTGACCCTTCTCTTTAGGATGCTTACATACATGATCAAGGAGACTTTGATGAATTGATTTATCATCTATGATGTCATGGCACCTCTTCCCACTTATGATTTCGAGTACCACAATGCCAAAGCTGTATGTATCTACTTTCTCAGATAATTGCCCATGAATGGCATATTCTGGAGCCACAAAACCACTATCCCTGGTAACATTAACAATGCTTATTGGTGATACATTTTGATCAGGAGAGTTAGAGAAGAGAGAGTTGTACTAATTTTGAACTTACAAGGACCCTGCCAATTTGGTGCTGAGATGAGTCTTATCTTCTGGTAGTAGTCTGATCAGCCCAAAATCTGCAATTTTGGGCTGAAGTTCATTGTCAAGTAGTATGTTGCTGGTTTTTATATCCCTATGAATGATGGTAACATGGTACTGTTCATGTAGATATGCAAGACCCCTTGCTGTCCCAAAGATTATTTCAAATCTTTGTCTCCAACTTAGGTTGCTTGATTTGTCGCCTGTCCATAAAAGTAACTTCAATAGATGCAAAATAGAGATGTAATAGTTAGAACTCCAAACAATCGAAAAAATAAGAAGTTTCAACTCACCATAGAGGAATTGATCAAGGCTACCATTATCCATGTACTCATGGACAAGAAATAAGAGTGGCCCTTTGCTACAATATCCAAGAAGACGAATAAGATGCCGGTGATGAACGTTACTTATGATCTTAAGTTCATCATCAAAGTGTATCTTTCCTCTAGTAGAACCCATAACAGTTTTCTTTATTGCAACTGTATCCCCATCCTTGAAAGTCCCCTGCATCATGTCACCGTACATAAAGTACCGAAAGAATTAATCAGCATACTGTCAATCTTCTTTTAGGCGTTAACTACCAAATGTTATGCTTGGGCATTAATATAGGAAGTAAATTTATTTAAGAAATGAAATACAACAATTTTTTTACTTTAGAAATTTATAGTTTCATATCGTTAGTATTACCTTATATACTTCACCAAACACCCCTCCTCCTAGTCTGCACTCATCACTGAAATTATGCGTGGCTATTTTTAAATCATTGTAGCTGTATCTTGCTGGTCCTTGCAGCAACTCTGTTGATCGAGTTGATTTATCTGGCGATAGGAAAACAATAAATTATCACAAAAACGGAAGGTGTAAATATAAGTTCAAATAAATAAAACTGTTTTTAATAGGCATCCATGCTAGATGGTCCATCTTGTGTTTACCTCGTTGGCCACTACTTGCTTTCTTTGATCTGTGATGCCAAATAAAAAGTGCAAGTATCACCAGCAACAGACAACATACACCTCCAACAACTCCCCCGATTATGGATCTCTTCTTGCTTGAATCTCCTGTAAATCATTGATATTATAAGAGAAAATATACACCAATAAACTAGTTAACTACAGTGCTGGTGAACAAAAACACGAACATAGGTGCATGGTTAATGATTGTGTTCTAGCTACTACCTCTAACAACAACGTAACAATTCTAAAAAAATCTAATGAAGTCATTTCAAGAAGAGTAGAGGTCTCACCATCCCAAAGGAAAGGTGTAATATTGGTCGTCTGGTTTTGTCCGAAAAATCGAGTCTGAGAATACCTCATAAAACATCCATTGTCAATAGCTCGCCCTGTAGTACTAGGAAGACAAGCATCTAAAGAACCATATCTGGCGTTCAAGCAATCTTCACAAACGCTCTGGCTTAAGTTTAAATTACACTGTGCAATGGCGTATATAGTACCATTACCATTGGCAATTCGTCTTGTAGATGCAGCATAGAAATTTGATATTCTGGGCACTGCAGTTCGAAGGTCTGATAACAACCTTTCAGCTGTTTTTCGAAAATCTTTTGGATGAAGTGACGTTATGTTGCCACATATTACCACACCAGCCCGAATATTTGCCTCAGCATAGAAGTTATTATTCTCGTACCTACATCAAAACAACATGGATGTAACAATCCTTCCCCTCGTGAGCCATGATTTACATAGCTTCATTTACCAAATAATGTCCATTTACATTCCTTTTCCTTTTACTTTTGTATTATACTCTTTATCATATTTTCTTATGCATTTACTTAATTAGTTTTCATTTTTATCTAAAATAATCATTGATAGAACATTATTTTATTTTGCAATAAAGTTTCAAAAGCGTAATGAATAAAAATAATATTCAATAGTGGTACCATTTTAAATGTATGAAATCTTTTTGATTATGTAATTTATTTATTAAAGGTAGTAAATAAATTTTAGGTATATATTTATGATAATTCAATTCATACATAAAATATAATAATGACATTTTAGAGTGAAAATAAAAAATGGATAAGATTTAAACAGATATTATTTTATAAATGAAATGAGGGTTGAATATTGAATATTGAAAACAAATAAACCTATCTATAGCACTCGTGGGACCTGTTTCTTTTTTATAAATATTGAAAACAAATTAATTAATTGGATTAATTAATTTTTGCAAAGGAAATGATGATAGCTAACCTTTTTTTATAAACAACATTGGAATTTTCTTGATATTAATATTTGAGGCAGAAAAATTCTGAAATTATCTTTTTGTTGACAGGTGGGTCGTATTTGTGTATAAAAATAATTAAGCCTCTCTTACCCTTCTTTAATTTCTGAAAAGGAGTTTTAATTACACAAAGAGTTAGGTGGTAAAATCTTGGAGATCATTTAATTTGATCTACTTCTGCTTCTCTCTTGTCTTCTCAAATTAAAAAAACGTGAAGCATCTATGTGTTTTTAACAAAAGTGGCAACGAAACTAAATTAAAGGCATATACAAGTAAGAAGAAATCTGAAATTAAATCATAAGCACCTGACATCACAGTCATTGTAGAAAGCATGAGCACCATTGCCAAGCCCACATTTTTTCAGCTGAGCGATCGCATAGTCAAAACACGCAACACAATTGGCCTTGGAGACATATTCTCTACACGAAGCGAGTCCCCACACGGACTCGCCATTGAGCAAAGAGCGTGCAACAGCATAACGAACACCGTTTACAGATAACTGCTGGCGGAGGCTAGAGAGGGTGGTGTTAAGGTTGCTCAAGAAATACTTTTCGCTCATACCTCGATATAAACTACAATAATCTCTTATAAAAGTGCTATTTATATTGTTAGATTGTGATGTCACCGACTCTGTCATGGATATGAACACCACCACCACCACCACTAGACAGGACAATCGCCATGAGAACCAGCTTTTTTCCACTTGTTTCATGTTCATTTTTTGCTCTATCCCTTTGGCTTTGATTTCTTCCTTTAATAGTTGGAGGTTTAATTTAAGAGGAAATTAGAATTCAATTCCAAATGTCATTTTCCAACGGTCAACAGTGGGTGCCAAAGACATGGATATTTGTTTAGAGGTTATTTAATAGAAGTCGAGCAAGACCAATTACAACCATAAAAACATGTAATCTAAATGCCCAGAGCTAGCCTTTTTCTTCAAATAATGACATCAAAGCAAAGGTAGGTCAATAGTTTCCTCATTATGTAATTTTGAATCTACATCATCTCCTATCTATGATATATATTTGTTTTCTAAAATTTAGTATTAAAATCAAAATCTTTAAAAAAATTACATCCAACTCCAACACCTATTATAATTTAGAGATTCTAACATTAACTATATTATTAAAATATTTAATATCTTTAATAAAATATTTTTTTTTCTCTCCTACATATTTAATTTCCATGCCTCTTGTTAGTAGAAAAAATTAAAATATTTCTTCTTTATCTTACTCCAAATTTTGAGAATTCTACATTTCTCTTTTCTTCTTTCCTCTATTTTAAGCAAAGGAGGTTTTTGTTTCTGAAAGAATTTCCAAAAACCTCCTAAAAAGCACATAATGGATACTCTAAGCATACTTGTTGGAAGAAAAAAAAATCTCTAAATCCATCAAAAATCGTATTTTATCATAACTATTGGTGATCCTATTTAAAATGGTGCAATTATAGTTTGAACTCATTAAAAAAGTAAAAGAGATATCGTTACAATTTGTTATACCTTTTAGTTTTGTTAAGAGGGTATCTATACGTCTAACTAAAAAAATCTATTAATTTATATTCGGAAAAAAACTAATGATAAACTCTGGAGATTTAGGCTATATTTGGAAACTAATAGCATCTCTAATAGCATATAATAATTTTTCTATAATAAAATATGCAAAGTTAAAGTCATTAAAAAATTGTATCTAACTTCAATAGCTACTCTATTTTAGCAATTTTATCGTTAACTATATTAATAAAATATTTCATTCCATATAGTAAAATATTATTTTTTTTCTCCTACACGTTTAGTTTTAGTTATTTCTTATTGATGGTAAAGAATTATAATATTATTTCTATTTCATAGAGTTTAAGATATGTATTCTCTACCTTATCTATCTTCTTACTTATCTCTATTTGAACATAGTTAGTGGAGCTAAAAAAATTCTTAAATCTTTAAAATTTTCTATTTTAATAAAGCTATTAGGGATGCTCTAATTTATTTATCTTATAAAAAAAATTGCATTTGTTATCCATGTTTTAGCTTTTTGATACCTTACTTTAAGTAAAGTTTCAACAAGCAAAAGGGGATTATTCCTTTTTTTTCTTTTAGTTGTGTTTTTTATATTCTTTAAATAGTTTTTTTTATCAAATCCTTTTATGTTATTTTATATTTATCTATCTTATTAACTAGTTTTTATCATATTTGATTATCGGTCAACCAACAACTAGCTTATTAACTAACAACTAAAATTTTAGCTAATACCTAATCTATCAGCTATTTTAGTAATTTTACCAAATACACCCCAAAGTTCCTTATATGCAATTGTGTTCTTTTGGAAACCAAAAATTACAAATAAAATCATAATGTCCGATATTTTATATACATTTGAATTGAAAAATCAAAATTGCAAACCAGGTTAATCTTTTGTTATTTTGATAGTCATCACAATGAGTTAAATAATTTTTCATAATTATCATGTGATTCTTTAATTTGTGTTATATTATCAATTAAAAATTGTCTAAAACTTAATATTCATTTAGGTCTATATAAACAAGTCAACTTAGTCATGGACATACATACAAGATGATTGAGTGGAGAATTGGGGTTAATTAGTTTAAGTTAAAGTTAATAAATTTGTTTAGGGGTTAAGGTTAGGGTTGATCATTAATTTCGTTAAATATTATTCATCAGGGCTTGTAGTTTCAGTTATGACCAATTGAGGTTCCTTGGTGTCAATTAGTGTGCATCTAGCTAGGAATGTCGGTGCCAAGTCAGGTACGGAATTTAATCAACATAATATAAAATAATAAAACATCTTTGCTTCTCCATATTTTTTTTTTCTTTTTGAAAGATTTTTAAGGAAAATCATTCAAATCAATTTTCCTAACAATAACAATAGAAGGAGTAAAGAAATATTACCACATAAAGACTCTCCCACTACCCCACAACTACCCGTCATGGATGTTGGTATTATATATCTTTTAAAAATGTTTCCATTTTTTCCTAACAATTAACAATTAGTCATCAAATTATTAATAATTAGGTATATAGGATCATCATATATCAAACAAGTAATACTTAGGTCAAACAAGTAACAATTCCATGTTGAGAAACAAACCCTAACGATTAATAATCAACAAAAACTAAATCGATTTTCAACACACCTTAATTTATAGACAATTTTGTTAACTAACGATCACTATAATTAATAAGAAACAAAAAGAATATCTAACAATAATTAAACGATAAACAAATAAATATCAAAGGCAATGATTTTGGATTTGGAATAAACATCTAACTGGGCTAGGTTGAAGTTCAAAGGAAATAGATTTAGTAATGGGAAATGGATTTTGGAAATGTATTTAGTGAGAGGATAAACAAAACAAAAAAATCTAACGATATGTGATGTTTAGTGATGACCTCTAGATAGGGGCGGACCTTTGAAAGTCTTTGCAGGTCTGTACATCCATCCACACAACTTATTTTTATAACTAGAACTTTTTTGTTATAAAATATGCATACACTAAATTTTGAGGGGACATCAATCAAAAAAAGTGTTTCAAAGATACTCTCACTGTGATAAGGAAGAAAGACATCTATAATGGAAGTAAAATTTGGATTTAAAATAAAAAAAATACTAAGATAAACATGACATGTTAACTAAAATTAGGGAAATGGATTATGTTGCAAAAAATAACAGAGTTGTAACCTAATTAATCAATTACGGTTTTACCCTATAATTAATAATCAAGGTATAAATTTAATTGTTGTTGGATTAAATTAACTTGTAGCTAATATTGATTCACGAAGATTTCACAAAACTTGCAGTTCTAAAATGATTAAGTACCTATACTATCACTACCACTACTATTTAACCTCCAACGTCTCCATTTTTTTACTTTTAAAATGATAGCTCCATCGACTCTCAGAACGGCAAATTCCAATCTCCCATTCAAATTCTTCAACCGCCAAATCATCTTTCAAACTGATTCCCTCCACCATACATAGTTCGATTATAGAGTCGTCGCCCTTCGGCAATTTCCATTTTCATCTTCATTTTCGCTATCGATCTAAACATATTTCAAACTTCAAGTCTCTCCCCCGTGTTTGAAAGTACCAAGTCAAACCATGTTTCCTCTTCATTTCTTGTCGAAGATAAAAAAAATACCCTAAAAACTTGTTGGATATGAACATTTCGACTTTGGGTGTTTATCTCCATCTATTTAATTAGCTAGGTTTTTATATTTTGAATGAATTTTCATCAATTTGTACATGAATGGTGGCAATGGTGGTTTGCAGTTGTATTATGTTGTGTCTCTATCAGTGTTTAGATTTGTGGTGGTTGTAGGTTGTAGGTGGCGGTGTTGCCGGTGGTTGTCATCGTCAAACTCCATGTGGTGGTGGTGACTGGCCATAGTGAAAAAGATGAATGTTCTTTAGTTTCTTAGTAAAAATAATATTCAAAAATCAAATGTTTTTGGCTCATCAAGGATAAGTATATAAAGACAATATTCCTGGCTCATAACTTATCCACATCACGTCAGTTTTTACCGGGTTTATAGATAGCTAGGTCTCTTTTTTGTTTTAAAATTTATCAATAGACTCTAAAATATATAATTTAAAATATGATCCTAAAAATAGCAGTTAAAATACACTTCATTACTTTTAATGTAAGTTGCTTGTGTTCAGTGGCGGATCCAGGAATTTTATACACTGAGGTCACTTAAACTAACAATATACCAACACATCAATCATTATAATTAATAATACGTGATTACATAAGTTGATTTCTACGAGTTTTCAT